TGGGCCCTTGGGGTTTACCACACTCCGAAGCCACCCTGCGACGAACCAAAAGGTTGATTTAGAGGTACCGGCGTTACCTGTCAAACACCCATTCAGAGCTTCTGTTTTCGTGACAGTCCGTGACAGCAAGTAAGTTGAAACAAGCCTATACCCTCTTCCCCAAAGCCCCAAACATACGCAGGGGATCCTGAAATGCAGCATAGTTGTTAAAATGCCAGCTGCCACAGGCAAAGATCTGCCAGTAATTTCTCTGGCCTCCTCCACAGGAACTTCGTCCACAGGGTAGGTAGTACCTGCAGTTCTTCTAAGTTCTGAAGAAACTGACAAAAATGACTCTACAAGACTTGCTACGATCAACAATTTTGTCTGAAGATTGCACTTATGGCCATTGCTGCTTCATTTGCCACCTCGGTGCCATCACTACGATGCTGTGTTTAAAAGTTTATGCTGGTTGGTGACTAGCATTGCTACGCTGGCCTTTCACTGCTGCGCGCTTGTTTACCAGCATCGCTAATCTTGCTCGTCTACGATTGCCCGGTGCTTGTCACTACAAAAAATATGATTGTCATGATGAGAAGATGCACTGTTGGCAAGAGGCAGCTCATCGTCGTTGCACAACGCCCCTACAGAAATCGCTCTCAGGACTTGCACCTTCAAATTGTGGAGAACGTTTGAGATGCTACGTACTGTACAGAATAGTAGCAGATTCAAGTGCAGCGGATTTCGGGGAGGTCTGGAATCTCTAGGTTCGGACCGGTTAGCACTGACTGAATCCGCAGCATCGATTGGCGCACCCAGCATCCGGCTGCAAGCTTCGACCTCCTTTCCATCCAGGAGAGCGGCACTGGGCGCAGGGCAGGGAGCGGCATGCATTCTCTCGGTTCTCCCGATGGGCCTAACTACGGCAGTAGGCCTTCTGATCCAAGAATCAGATGACATGACGCCCTAAACCGCGAATGCCAACCTCAAGCCCCAGACCCCAACTTGCAGTAGTGCCCCTACCACCAAGAATGTGCGCTCGAAGCTTTGCCCGCCCGTAACCCCTAGCTGCAGATCCGGAAAGCATTTGATTGCTACACTGATGCTTGCTTCTGTTCCGACGGCCTACAACCAAAAGCCCTCAAAGCAAACGGCGATTAGAGCGGGGTGACGGTAGTGGCCTTAAGTATACTGTATACTCTGATATAGTATAGCATAACAGAATACAGTACAATATGAACTGATACAAAAGTAATAAAAGTAAAAATGACAATAATGAATAATAACAACGGTAATCATAACAGTAATAATAGCAATACTAATACTAATAATAACAATGATAGTAACAATAATAATAATAATAGTAATAATAATACTAATAATAGTCATAATAATAGTAATAACAATATTTCGTAAGCACTCCAAGGCTCTGGCCTAGAGAGCCGGGTCATCACGTCTGCCAGGGGTAGGACGGTAGAGCCTGCGAAGGCCTGCTGACTCCGGATTCGGGTTCATGGGGCTTCAGGTGTAGGGTTTTTTGGGGCCTTTTTCCGTCTGCTAAGGCATTAGCTCAGGAATCTACTTTTTGGGGTTTAGGGTTGAGTGAGTTTAGGGTCTAGAGATTAGGGTTTGGGGTATTCGGTTTTAAGTATAAGGTGGGGCGAGTTGCACAGAACTGCTAGGTTCTCAGCCTCAGCCCCACTGACTTCGTTGATCCCCGTCTGATGGCTCTTGCGAATATGATGATTTCTTCAGGGCGCTGTCATCGCCCGTTTCTTCGTCAACCAACGTCTCAACAGGAGCCCGGAGCCCTGGCTCCCAAAGCCCAGCGGAGCCCGACATCTGAGGAGGTGCTAGGCCTCGTCCAAAATCGAGTAGAACTTCTCCTCGTCCTGCTACAGGCGAGAGGGCAAAGCCATGTCCGAAAAGCTGCGTAACTAAGGCAATCATATATACTATACTGTAATATAACATGCCATCCTACACAACACATAATGAACTGATACAACATCTTCTGATATGCAAGAGATAGTGAGATAGTATGCGCAGCTGCACTGCAGTCAAGTTATGTCTTAGTGGTATCAGAGCGATTTCTTGAAGAGACTCGAACCACAAAGGCCCAATTGCTCCGCGACGATACGCTGAAGACACATGCCAGAAGTCAGAGCAGCCCCACCAGAAAAGCAGGCGGATTGGAGCCTGCGCGACTGAGTCGTTCTTCACGATGGCCTTCCTTGGTGGACGAAGCACGTCCCGCAGCGGCCAGCATCCGCCCCCAAACATCTGACCGTTTAGCTTTCCAGTGTGCAACATGAAGAGTGCGGCAGAGACAGCGAAAGACCGTTGGGTGGCTTTTAACTCTGCTACAGTAGCTTGCAGCCCAGGATCTCGAAGGACAGCATGGAGCGGATGAGGCCAACCTTTCAATGAGATGCTGCTTGGGACTCCATGGCCACTGCCAGTCTCATCAGTACCCCCCCTGCCGCAGCTTTCCATCATCTTCAACCCATGAACACCACAGCACAGCATACCACAGCTATCTTGTACCTAATTTCGAGCCGAAGTCGCCGCAAAGCCAAGAGTGGCCCGGGCCCCTCTTATAATGATAATAATAATACTAATCATACTAATAATATTAATAATAGTAATAATAATAATAATAACTATTATTATTATTACTATTATTTGTGTTATTAATAGGCCAAAACGGCTCTCTTGGGGCCCAGACTGCTCGAGGAACGAAGCTCGCGTAGGAGATCAGGTTGTCCGCGTTGACCTCTGCTTCTTTGAGCAATTTGCCTTTTCCAGGCATCCACGAACAGAGTGATTACTATGGTTATTGCCGTTATAATTGTTACTACGAATATTATTGTGATTATGATTAATTGTTATCTTGCACACCTCCAAACGAAAGCACCAGTCGAACATGCACCCTCTCCAAGACAGATCGAGGAGACTCGAAGAGCACCTGAAAAAAAAACCTGCACGAGGCCCCGGCCTCGGCCTCACTAAGAACGGTGTAGATCTGCATGCGGGTCAGTCCCAGCATCGCCTGTGCAGATAGCTGCATGAGAAGGACATTTAAGACAATCTGTGTCCTACACTTCTCCCTCTAGAGGATTGCCACTGCAGGACTGCAGCACTGCGATTAAATCCCCTGGAAATCACGGGCTTTCAGCCACATCGAGCCGAATCCACGTGGCGAAAGACGCCGAGCTCAGCCCCCAACTCTCAGCTCCGAGAGCCCCTCCGGCCTGATGCAGCAAGTCCCGCATGTCGTCCAGGCCGAGCAGGCCCGTCATCTCGGTGTCCTGTCAGAGCTTCAGGCGACGGCAGTGAAACGCATACATGTGTCTGTGCGCGTGTGTGTTTGTGTGTGTGTGTGTGTGCGCGCCCTTGTGCATCTCTATCCGTCCCAAGTATGAGCTCGAATCATAATGTGTATGTCTAAAACAAAGGCATATGCATGCCCATATGCAAATTCATAACTATGTTCGTTGTCCACATGCTAGACACAAAAACATATAAATATTTCACAGGGTGCACGAGCCAGCATGCCCCAAGTACCCCTTGATAGAGGCCACATGGTGCTGGATGGGGGGGTGGTGGTGGATGGGGGGGGTGTGGGTAGTCGGGGGCTACCACAGCCCACACCCGCCATCCGCACCACCCGCCATACCAGCCACCCGCCCACCCCGCCGCCCGCCCACCCACCCACTAGGGTTTGGGGGGCGCCATGCGATTATTTGCATAAGGAGCCACCAAAGCAGTATTGGTAATAGGCCCCTACATTGCCGAGGCTCTAGCATCGGGTAGTTGCGGTGGTTGGATGCCCCACAGACCCCCTAGATCACCCCTGTATCCTGTTTGTGTATCCGGCTTTCTGGGCTTAGTTGTTTTTTCTGTTTCAGGGTCCTTCTTTTTCTAAGGGGATTATAGTACAAGTTTATGGGGCTTCGGCCTTCTAGGGCTCTCTCTTTTCTTCTAAAAGGAAAGCTATAGAGTCATAGATTTTGAGCTTCTCGCCTTGGCCTTGAAGAGGTCCAAGATGAACTGGGCCAGCTCATCGTTCTCGAGCTCCGACTCTAAGAGTCGAAGCCTCGGAAGACGGGGGGGGGGGGGAGGTTTAAAGCTTTAAGATGCTGGCTTAGGGGCCCCGGTTTTTGGTGAGGGCTCGATGGTTTAGGGGTTTAGGGGTTGAGGGGGTTAGGGGTTTAGGGGTTAGGGGTTTAGGGGTTTAGGGTTTAGGGGTTGAGGGGTTTTAGGGGTTTAGGGTTTAGGGGTTTAGGATGCCTTAGGGGCCCCGGTTTTTGTTGAGGGCTCGATGGTTTAGGGGTTTAGGGCATTAGCGGTTTAGGGTTTAGGGGTTGAGGGTTGAGGGTTGAGGGGCCATGACGGGTTCTATGATAAGGGCCTTCCTTGAATGGGTTCTACCAGAGCTCTACACTAAGGGTCTCCCTGTAATGGGATCTATAGTATAGATCCCATTGCAGGGAAACCCTTAGTATAGAGGTCTGGTAATTCGAACCCATGTAAAGCGTTCTATGACAAGGGCCTTCGTTTAAGGGCTCAGGGTTTAGGGGCCCCGGGAGGGCTTAGGCTTTTAGCTTCGCGCAGGTTCCGCGAGGGTTGGTTTAGGGTTTAGGGTTTGTTTTTTAGGGGGTTGTCCATACGATGCTGAATTGCAATCTGCGCGATCACATAGGTGGGGATCCGGTTTTCAGGGGTCCTTTGTCTGTCTAGGTTTTGCGATGCGGTCCGCAGTTTTGGGAAACTTCCGTCTTCTGTCGTGGTTTAGCTGATCACCACCTCAAAGGCCCAAGCCTGAAATCCGCCTATCGGATGCCAAAACAAGCTGGTCACAAACGGGTTATAGGACTATACACAGCTTCGGGCTTACTGTCTGAAATGGGTTCAACGTATACCTGAAGGTTCATGACTACCCTACAACCGTAGTTGTGCTGGTAGGACTGCCCGTGACCCTCGGAGGCCCCTGAATTCGTTTCTGTCAAAGTCTGTGTCTAAGCTCTCCGCGACGCCATCTTCTGCAGCAAGTCGAACGCGAAGGGCACAAACTCTCTGTAGGAGACATTGCCATCCTGGTCCTGGTTTAGGGTTTAGGGTTTAGGGTCATGTAGGAGCCGAATTAAAAGCAAGAAGGTTTTGAGCTTTTCGGTTCGGGTCGAAGCATAAGTTGTTGCGGGTAATGTTCCGCCGAGGGGGTCGGCTTCAGGAGCTTCTCTTCGTGGATTCTTGAAACCATGCCAGACAGTTGTGTACATAGTGTATTCCACGCTAGGGCTACATTCTCCTTGATAGCAGAGCAGATTGAGCGTATAGAGGCAAAGCAGCCTGTGCAGAGGCATGTGGAATCAGGGGGAAGGTGGACAGATTTACACACCGGTACTCTGGGAAAAACAATAGATGTGAAGAAAAAACAGTTCTCGTGTCCTTTGCTGACGTTGTTGGCTCCAGGAACGCAGTGAGACACACACACACATACAGATGCACATGCACATACACAATTCCCTAGTGTCATGAGGATGGTGGTAATAATAACAGTGATGGTGACGATTATGACGTTCTTGAGGATGATGATATGTACAAACGGGCCCTGAAGTCTACATAAAGGCGGAATCATTCGTGCCTGATCCACCTGGAACATGATGGCATTGATCTCTCGCCGGGTCAGCCTGGGTAGTCTGGCAAACATCCAAAACTAAGAAGGAGATTATGGATCATATACCACCATATGTACTATAGCATACTGTCATATACTATTATAATGTACCAGAGTATGCAATAATACTATAATGTTCATTTTTATAGTAACAATAGTAGCAATGATACTAAACTGTTATAATCTACCATAATATACGTTTCATACTTTGTTATACTATAACGAGGCTACGCTCCATTCAATGGCGAGGACGCCAAGCTATTCTTTCTCAACTGCCCCACCAGCAGGCAGGCTCGAGACCAGTCAACTTTGATTCCCCAGACCACAGCAGAAGATAGTACTTGTACTTATTGTAGTACTCATCAGTACTATAAGTACTATATATAAGAGTACTATAAGTACTATATATATAAAAGCTACTGTGGGGCATGACGGTTAAAGCATCAAGGTCTTGGGCTCCTTGCAACAAGGGCTATATATGCTCCCCGGGTCTGTGCTGCTGTAGACTCTCTTTCAGACACAGTTATCATGCTAGTGCTTGCAAGCAACACGGCACCACCAGTATCGCGGGCTGTTCGGGATTGAATCGATCAATCTTGATCTGAGTCACCCCAAGCCCTAAACCCTAAAGATGTAAGGTGATAGCACCTGGCAAGTCGGGCTCTAAGCCGACGCTCCGACTGCAAAGCAGATGGTCTGGGAACCAGGCCCGAGTTCCATGGAGGTTAGTGCCGTCACGAATTCCTGGCAGTTTGGTTGCATTTTTCTTCTGCGGTTTAGGATGGACTGCACAACCTGAACCCTGTGTGCCCGGACTAACCTCCTTTCGCAGTGCAGGATATTGAATGTACCGAAGATAAAGCTCCCAAGCGAAGCGTTTTGGTGAGTGGACATTCAGTTGAATATTCACATTGTCTCCTAGGCTGCATGGGCCATCATGGAGTGACAACGCCCTGCATTGGCCTGTAAATTCAATCACGGGAACGATACTCGCAGCTCCGATTTGCCCATGCCAGTTCAGGCTTCCAAAATGCTAGAGCCGCAGAATGACGAAACGGGCCAAGGAGGTCTGAAGGTGGATGTGACAACAGAAGCAGCCACCAGTAGCCGTGGCCATCGCCGTAGTCTTCGTACTAGCAGTAGCAATAGCAGCAGCAGAAGAAGCAGCAGCGGCAGGAGTTGGAGTGGGAGGGAGCGGGAGGAGTGAGAGTAGCGGCAGTACTGGTGATGGTTTTGGCAGCCGTGGTAGGAGTGGTAGTCGCAGCAGTAGCAGCAGCAGTAGCAGTAGCAGTAGTAGTAGTAGTAGTAGTCGTCGTCGTCGTCGTAGTAGTCGTAGTAGTAGCAGTAAGTAGGACTGGTAGTTGCTGTTGCAGAAGGAGGCAGCAATGCAGCGGAATATGAAAGGCCTGCTTGTTCAGCTGCCCACTGCGGTCCTGCAGTTTGAGCCGTTTCAGGCTTTGAGGGTGTCGCCCCCAACTTTGGGCGGTTGCAGGATGCAGGGACATGACTGAAGGCACAAAGTCTCCTTGCACGAAGGAGTTTACAGGCAAGAATCTAAGAAGCTGCGTCTTATGTCAAGCAACGCCTCGTCCATGCGCTCAAACATGCTTCCGACCAGGGAGGTCAACTCCTGGCAAGGATCCAGTAGATAAGGAAAGGGCTTAGGGTCCAAGATTGAAAGTTAAGAACTTCATAATGTCGAGGGCTGCGTGAGGTCAAGGAGTGAAATGCTAGGGCATCTCCAGATCGCCTATCTGGCTCTTGCATCTCGGAGATCTTCTTCGTAGCATCGAGGCTTGCTGCTCTTCTTCTCTATAAAGAGCAGCAGAGCTAATTAGGAAGCATCCCGCTTTGGAACGCGCCTCCCTGGACATTCCATGGACGAGGAGCTCTTCCGCTTGGAGGTCCACATCGGACTCGGCAGTGGTCATATCATTAATAAAGCAACAACTCTGAACCGCAGATCACCCCTCTGTATTCCCTCTACGCTTTTATATAAGGTAATATGCATCCCAATCGGATTATCGTGCTCAGACGTGCATGCGTACATACATATATACATGCAGACATCATGTTCATGTGCCCACACACTCACATGTTTCGCAAATGTGAGTGGAGTGCAGTGGACAGCAAACAATCACACATCCATTGCAATCCATGCATGCATGCGTGCATCAGCATAAGCACAAGCACAAGCATAAGCATAAGCGTGAGGCTCAGCACCAGCATAAGCAAAGGATAAGGATCTTGCGATGTGCTGCTCCAGTCGCTTCTTGGCGTACCTGGTGCACACAAGGAAGGCGCAAAGATCCTTTGAGCGTACGGACGGCTCCCTGTCCAGACCATGCTGACAAAGCTCGCAACGAAGCGCAGTATAGTATACATAGTAATCCGGATACATTTGTATCCACAATATTCGAATTGTATACATACTTGTATACACAGACATACATACATACATACATACATACATACATGCATACATACATTGACATACATACAGACGACCTACGACACATCAAGTAGACTGGCCAGGCTCACATGCCCTGGATGATCTGCAAGGCCAACGGGATAAACTCCTGCAGCCCCAAACAGCAAGCACGTCTGCCTTTGGTGTGCGACTTACCCTCCGACGTCCCGGGGCATCTGATGCTCTCTGCAGGTTCGAGTCCTCGTACTCGATCATTCCGTCCGCATTCATGTCCGCCTGCACACGGACAGGCTTCGACAGTGGAACCGCAACAAGCCTGCAGCCTAAACCCTGCACCACCCCAAGTTTCCCCTTGCGCTTTGAGAGCCTCAGCCAAGAAGAGGAGTATCTCGTCCTTGGGAAAATCCAGCCGCTGCCTCGCAGGGGAGCCAAGCACATGACAAGCCAAGGTCCCGCTTTGCTGAAGATTTACCTGGACCCTAAAGAAACTGCTCCTTCAGGGTTCCTTACTATGATTTCCTCAACCAGTTTTGCATTCAGGATCCTATAAAGTAACCTCAAAAAGGAACTACAATGGAGACTATAGGTAGGGGCCCTAATTGAGTTGGGTTAGGTCAACAGGGTTTAAGATACCAACTTGTGGGTTTAGAGCTGTAGGCGATGTTCGAGAGACGAGATACTCCTAGCTATCATCTTGCATGCTCCTTGACGTGTTGTGCACATGGGAATTTCAGAAAATGGTGAACCCCGCTAAACCCACATTGGGACGAGCAGTAGGGAGCCCGAAAATGAAAACAAGACGGTCTTGCCCGGCAGCGTCTTAGGAGTCGGCTGCAAGTCTTCCATCAAAGACTTAAACTCTGCGGGGTCCAGGAATTGGCTTCCATCCTGGCCAGCAGTGCTGTTCAGTCCTAAGTGGTCATTGATATAGTTACAGCCACAGCTGTAGACCTGCTATAGTGCTATACCACACATATTTTTTAGGTGTGATCCTGTCGATGCCTGCTTCAATTTCGCAGCTCATAGTCACATTGAGATCTGAGCCCTGCCAGGATGCCTTGTCGTACTTCTTGAAGAGGTCATGGATGATTCCCTCGACCTCATCGAGCGACCTGTTTAGGGTTTGTCATGACCGCGCCGGACCCATGAGCCCTAGCATCCTGCAAGGGTGAATGGGTGATTGAAGCCGCAAACTTAGGGTTTAGGGCCTTCCGGAAAATAGAACCGGACTGCACAGCATCGTGCATACTCTAAAGTCTTTTCGACTGTGCATTATCTGAGTCTTCTACGATACAATTCGATGCAAGACAGTACCAGTACTAGACTGTGACTTGCTATACTACAATATTCTACTGTTGATACTGTATTGAACTGAGCTAGACTATACTTTCGACTCTTATACTAACGTGTACTATACTACACTAGATTACACTACGGTGCACTAAATACTACAGTATGCTATAGTATAGCACAACATGCTATACTTTGCTCTGCTGTGCTATACTCTTCCGTGCGATAGTAGACTCTACATTCCGAAACTATCATATGCTATCCTACACTGTCCTGCAATACATGCCATACCTTACTCGAGGAGAGCAGGCTAGTTTAGACAGTGCTATGCTACATTATACTTAGTTCTACCGTAGTAGACGATACTGCACCACCTCACTACGCTATACTACACTATACGATACTAAAAAGATTTCCATATTTCATACCATAATACTATATCATACCAGAATAGACGATACTACTATAGTGTGTTACACTATGCTATGCTGTGCTACATGTGCTACACTATAGTGGGAAGGCAGCGAAAATGAAGGAGTTCCAAAACAAACTGGAGTTAAGTGCCCGGCTTTCTACTAACTACAGTATACCTTAGCTATAAGTGATTTCTGACTGTGGCCCTGGCATGTCTAGCTCTTCTGCTGCAGTTGCCTCGAGCTCCACAGATAGGATGAGCAGGTCTGGCTCTATGCACCGATAGCATGGAGCATCATGGAGCATACAGCCGCTGCATGAGATATTCCGCATCTTTGAGTGCCTGCCCCGCATCAACTGGAAGGCCGCTGGCCAAGCATTCGAAATACCTGACGGCAGTTGCTGTTCGCACGTATACAGCTACCCGGAGAAGGCTGCGAGCTCGCGGAGGCAACAGGAATGAACCCTGAAAGCCCTGCACCTAAACACCCCAAACCTGAAACCGCAAGCACGTACATGACGGGCACTTGGCAGCAAACTCATGGATGTTCTCTGGCTGGGAGCGGAGAACTTCTCGGGTGAAGTCCTGCGGAATATCTGCGGGCTGGCCCAGGGACGTGGGAAATGACATGATCCATGCCGCCTGATAGGTTCTCCGCGTAAGATCTTTAAGTAGAATGCATGTCGGTTTCTTACCAAGCCTCTATAGACTCTAGGGTCGACAGATGGTTGACATGAGGCATCTTATTCAGATCTATGTCGGGCCTTTGGCTTCTACCGTGTTTATACACTTCGAGCGCAAGTGCTGCCAGCGCCCACGGTCCTTGAGAATGTCAGGAAACTCAGGTGGTACCTGTCAATAAGGACTTTCCAAGCAGAGTCCCGGACCAATCACACGCCACAGAGTTCTGACAGCACCGAGGCTCTGTCCTGGTACTGTTTTGCGAACTTGCTGGACCTGGGAGCGCGAAGCTGCTTGGGATGCGGCTGTTCGCTTGCCCAGGCAACAATATTCTGTCTTGGGTTTATTGTTGGGTATGATGCGCTGAGCCCGAAGGCTACGCAGTGCACATTTCATAGCCTCGCTTGAAAGACGGCCCGAAGCTAGCAGCTAGAGTACTGACTGGTGCTTCGAATTTGGAGCCAGCAACTCAGCCCGGGCTAACAGACTGAGAACGCATAAGAGACTGAGAAGCAAGATCCTGCTCTCAGGCCGCTACATGGCTGCTGGCCCCACAGGTTCGTGGGGAACTCGCCCAGCTCTACAGTACACTGAGCCAACAACCGGCCCGGCGACAGGGGCGAAGCGCGAAGCAGTTCTGCAGAACGGACCATGAAAGAGCAAAGCCTCGAGTCCAAAGCGAGTGTCGAGATCTATAGAGTTGAGCGAGCTCGATCAGACAGCAGGGCAGAAAGTTAAGACAAGCTTGTTTTCACACCTTAGGCGTGCAGAAAGGTCCTCCCGCTTTGCGGGCCCAAGAACCGGTGCAGCGACGAGCTCTGCCACAGGCCAGCTTACCCCTGCGCACGCTGCCAAATAACTTTTAGCACTTTTAGCACTTTTGAGCTGAATGCGGTGGCACTCAGAACTCGTCAGCGGCGAGCATAGTGTACCTGGCCATCGATCAAGTCTATAAGGACATGTGCAGTGCCCGCAGTACCTTTGCAAAGCAGGGAGGCGCAGCATGGAACCTCCTCGAAGCCTGAAGGACAGGGAGTATGCTCGCGGGGCAAAGCTTCCGAGCAGGCCACTCTGTGAAGGAAGCGAGAAGGTAGAGCTCTCGTGAGGCGCGCACATCACCACGGCGATCACAGATGACCCGACTGCCTGGCTGGTTGCTTGCAGCCACACATGCTGGAGTGGTCGAGCACTCCAGAGTAATCCCAAGCTGACTCGTAAATGAGTGGTTGAATCTTCGATGAGTTCCCCAAATGCTAGCGAAGCTGCTTGAAGACGCGACCGTAGTCGTAGGCTTGCTCAATCAACAGGGGCTTCGAATGTACCTTAGCGGGCGAAAGACCGCAAAGCGCACGACTTCAAGCGCTGCAAGCAGGGGGCGAGGGCATACGAGGGCAGCATTTTGCTAGGGCCCCGGGCCTTGTGATACATTCTCAGCACCTCCTCCTTCGACTCTTTTGCTCTTCGATCCTTCAGACAGCGCGCGGGCTGCGTCAACTAAAGGGACTCGGAGGCCCAACTCCTCCCCTCAGCCGACAGGCTCGGATGCCGCCTGCGTTCCCCCTTCGCCCCCCTTTTTCTGGCTTTTCTTCCTCACACCGAAACGCTGGCGCTCGGAGGGCTGCCTCGCTGCTCCTCGGCAAGGAGGAGCTGGCCGACGGCCCAGTCTTCCACCAAAACTGAAGCTTGAAACCCTGGGCTTCCAGAAACCGGCGTACCTGCACGGAAAGGCGTAGAATGCCGCTACAACCAAACCCTCGAAACTTCGAGAACCCGCGAGCCCCCTCTAGGCCCCTCGGAGCCGATTTACACGCCCAGAAGCCTCGACAAAAATCCATCTATAGACCTTTTCAGTACACCTTTTCTGAAGGGCCTGAAAGGCAGCCCTCAAGCCCCGGTCCAAGGCCTGTCTCTGTAAGGCCTCCCGCATCAGCAAGGCACCATTGCGCCCGGCTATGGCGGCCACCTTCACAAGCCAAAGGGCTCCTCTTGGGTTTTTTTTTAAGGTTTAGGTTGTTGCACTTTTCGGTTCTATGAGCTTCTTTCTGGCTTATCAGGAGCGTTTTTTGGAATCAGGCTCCTGGATCCTCTTGGGGGTCGATGCTCGGAGGGTTTGCCACATGCCCCAACTACCCTCTGCTCGCTTCGGGCGCACATGCAAATCCCTACAACCTAAACCCCTTTTCCCCTAAGCCTCGCTTGCAAGTGCTTTGGGGGGTCACCTCCATGGCAGAGGCCCCCGTCTCCAGGCCGGACGTGTAGAAGAGAGCGTGGCCATCCAGCCTGCGACATTCTTACAAATGGAACACACTACAAGATGCTGTAATATATAATATGCTCCAGTATAGTATGCGAAAAAAGTGTACAAAAATACGAATCCTACATACTATACCACAATGCACGATGCGACATGCATTACTGACGCCGCATTTTGGCATCTGCCGGGAGCTTGCTGCGTGATTCAATACAAAAGCTGTGCTAAACAGCCTTACTTAGACCCAAGGCCGCGAGGAGAAGGAAACGACGCCTCGGTAAGGAACATAGCAGTAGCAGTGGTGGTGGTGGTGCTGGTGCTGGTGCTGGTGGTGCTGGTGGTGCTGGTGGTGCTGGTGGTGCTGGTGGTACTGGTGGTGCTGCTGCTGCTGGTGCTGGTG